ACATAATGGTATGATATTCAAAGACTTTTACAACTAGCTCTTAGCTGGGTATTCTGTCTTATTACTCCATGCCAAAGAATTCTGGGGTTCGAAGACCATTACAAATAGTTCTCAAAATACATTGTATATTATACTTTCACAGCACTACGCCTTTGTTCACCCTATTTACACTTCTTAGACAGCTTTTCCAACCTGGAAAACCATTATGTCCCTCAAATGTCATCAGATGCTACCTGTATTGTGAAGTCTACCTGAGTTTCCTCTTTTTTGTACCCAGATCACTTTGCATACACATCTATCAAATTCAAGCTGGGCCTAGGTTCAAATTGTAGTTCTGCCAGAGTCTAAATGCATGACCTTAAGCAAGTTACTTAACTTCCTTGTGCTTCAGGAACTGTATTTGTAAAACAGGAATAATAGCACTTATTTCATCGAGTTTTGGTGTGGAGATTAATGAATAACTATGTGCAAAGTTCTTAGGGAAATGCCTGGCACATAGTAAGCATTATATCAATTGTTTGTTGTTATTATATCATGTTAAGTGAAAACAATCAGGATAAAAACTTTTATTTATGGACTGTAAATGTAGGGAAATGGCTCCACTATGGCACTCTGGCAATCTTCCACTATTCACGGAGGCCATGTAGGCAAGGCTCAGCTGCAGTCTGCCGGAGGTCTTGGCAGAACATCCTGTAATTCTCTTGGAGCGTGAGAAGACACACGGTCTTGTGAGGAGGTGTTTCAAGGCTGTTTCTTATCTGTCTTTCTACTTTGTGGGAAGCACCCTATCTTGCAGGAGGCTATCATGAGGTTCCAACAGAGCAAAGGACTTTCCACCTCCCTTTCCCTGGGTATAGATGCAGGCCATAAAACAGCTTAGTTGCAGTCTAGAGTTGGTTCTTCAGCAAGAGTGTCTTACTATTCATGTTACCTGTCATCTGGCTCCTGTAGTTCACTGTCATCCTGTGGGGCAAAAGGACATGGGGATCTGACACCATGCTAATTCTGCTTATGCCATTTGTGTAAATCATAAACTATATCCTTTGGGGCTTATTTCCTTATTGGATGGACCTATGAAAATCTGTGCTGCTTATGGACTGTTTGATCTCTTAACAGTAATCACCTGGAGAGAAGGAGAACCTTATATCTATTTTGTTCAACACTGTATGTCGTGTCTGGCCTACAGAAAATGCTCAATAAGTATGTGTCGAATTTTAAAAATTACAGAAAACAATGATAAATATGTAATCAATGATATGTATCAAATCCATTATAGTAGAAGTCTTGTGGGGAGGAATGGAGAGTATAGAAGATAAAAGATAAAATATGATTTAAGATAAAATAAAAGGATTCTACTCATGAGGATTAAAGTAAAACATGCATGCCATCTAGGAGAGAAGGCCCTCTAGACTCTCTTGTGTTAGTATAAGAGACCTTGTAAGCTTGACCTTATTTTCTCACCTGTAATATAAGGAGGAAATCCTAAATCAACATCTTTCAAACTGTGTTCCAAAGCGCCCAAATTTTTCTCCTAGGAGCTGTGTCATGGATGATAGTACCTTTTAAACTAAGGCAGCAGTATTTGTTTTATATGTTTGGCTTTCTCATAGAATTTTGCTTGAAGAAAAGGGTTAGCAACCCAAAACAAAACAAACATGCAAACCACTGGCCTAGTTCTAGCTCTAAAATTAATGTACAGCATGATAATAGTAGTTGATAATGCTGTGCTGAATACTGGGAAATTGCTAAGAGAGTAGACTTAAGGTGCTCTCACCACACACACACACACACACAAATGGTAGGCAAGGAGATGGTATGTTAATTAGCTTGACTGTAGGAATCATTTCACTATGTCTGTGTATATCAAATCAACATATTATATGCTTTAAATACACATAATTTTTATTTAAAAATAAGATGCCTAAATATAGATTAAGGCAAGGGAAACTTGGTAGCTACAAACTCAGAATTGGAGCAGCAGGCATAATATGGATAACGGAACTCTCTGGTTGGGGTTAGAAGGAAAGGATAGAAGTTTTGCTGAAAACATACATATTCCTAACTCTGATTTTTGTTTAGGACTCACTCTTTGATTTAGAACTCATAAATCTTGCTTTCTTATTTGGAGTCTGGAGAGGGTAAAGGAAAGGTGGTTCTTATAAATTTTTAAACCCCAAATCAGTCCTTGTATTTAAATAGGTTGTTTATGGTCCTATTATTGGGTTGGCAAAAAAGTTCATTCAGGTTTGTCTGCAAGATGTGATGGAAAACACGAACGAACTTTTTGGACAACCCAGTACCTTCCTCAGCTTTAGCATAGGCCTTCTTCTTAAAGTCTCTGTGTCTGATTGTTACATAGAGATCAGATCCAGGCCCCAAACATCATATTTAGCTAATTCTAAGGTGCTATTTTCCTCACATTTTTATGTTTCTGTTATTGGGATGAATCACATAATCAATGTTTGTATTCAATGTGGTAGTGTACCTATTTTTCCTTTGTTACTAAACAAATGGCATTATCTACAATTTGATGATGTCTTAGAGTTGAGAAAATGCCATATTATTAACAGAAATACTTAAAGCTTAAAACTAAGCTTAAAATTTGTGCAAGAAATATTTGAGATTAGGTCATCAACCTCTGCAGTTGGAGCCTTCCCAGTGGGGCTAAGTAATAACAATGGATGTCATCATAAAATTCAAGCTACAGTTGTTTTTTTTTTCTTTTTTGAGAGACAGCTTACCAGTACACCACTGTCCAAATTATTCTTTATTCTTGCTTACACTCAATGCTTACCCAAATAGGCCATGCTATTGCATGCCTGGATACCTTGCCATGTGCTCTTACTTCTGTTTGGAATGCTCTTCTTGGAATGTTGTCCACTGGAGAAATCATATCCACCCAGCGTTGATCCCTCTCTACTTTGTCACCACATACCTGTTATATGCCTCTAAATATATACTTACCACACTGAACTACAATGATTTATTAGGTTTCCATCCCCTTAACTGTAAATTTCCTGATGGTAATTGACTGATTATTATTTGTCTTTGTATCCCTAATACTTAAGGACAGTGCCTAATAAGCAGTAGTATTCAATAAGTATTTAAAGATTGAATGTATGAATAAAAAGAATGCTATACATGTGGTGAAGTGCCATAGCATGAACAAATATTTCATTTGTCTCTGGCTTCAAAGGTGTTCATGTCTTATCCAAACCTTCTGAACTCCTGATAAAATTACAATCATCAACACAGAGCATAATTGTTAATAATAAAGAGTTAATTTATGCTAGTTTTATTTCTCCAATCAATTATCAGATCATTAGAGGGGGAGATCAAGTCTTTTTCTGTACATACCTGTTTCAGATAAACTATACACTCCTATTCTGAGGTGTGATTTAGTTTCCAAGAATCTTCACTCAGAATACCTTTATTATTAATGCTAGTAGTAATTTTCATGAGAGAAATGCAAAGGCTCACAACAGTTTTATTTATTTAAGGCTTAAAATTTCTTTAGAGTCTACAGTAATTCACAATATCAAACATCAAAAACATAATCTTATAGTCATTTAAGAAAGAGAAATTTGAATATTACTGGTAAAACCCTGAGGCTAATTACTTCAAGATCACTTGAAACCTAACTCATTAGAGTTTGAAAAATCTCCTGAGGTCCTTAAAGATACTATTTCCATTATGTTATTTGATCCAATTGAATGTTTTAGATTTTGTTAATAAGAGAAAACCTGAAATTTATGCAAAAGAGAATCCATTTACCAGTTGCTTAAGGAAAAATATTAAGCATCTCCTATGGGCACCTCAGTATTCTATGTCATAGAGTATTCTAAGAGAGGGATGGGAAAATACAGATGCACAGCCTCTAATCTCAAAAAATAAACTCCCAGCACCAAACACCAAAATTACTAGTGTATATTGCCAAAGTGAGTTGCATTTCACACTCTTTGTTAGATCCAGTAAGGTAGTCTCACTGATATCACTGGTATCGCTATTGTTACACAGAAACAAACATCGTTTGCTTGGCAAAGGATGCTCTCCAACATGCTGTACGTCATTCAGAAGGGAGCCAAGCAACATTTTGGATGTCTTTTTTTTTTTAAATTGTAATGGTTTTTGCCATACATTGACATGAATCAGCCATGGATTTACATGTGTTCCCCATCCTGATCCCTCCTCCCACTTCCCTCCCCATCCCATCCCTCTTGGTCTTCCCAGTGCACTAGCCCTGAGCACTTGTCTCATGCATCCAACCTGGGCTAGCGATCTGTTTCACACTTGATAATATATATGTTTCAATGCTATTCTCTCAGATCATCCCACCCTCGCCTTCTCCCACAGTGTCCAAAAGTCTGTTCTATACATCTGTGTCTCTTTTTCTGTCCTGTATACAGGGTTATCATTACCATCTTTTTAAATTCCATATATATGCGTTAGTATACTGTATTGGTCTTTATCTTTCTGGCTTACTTCACTCTGTATAATGGGCTCCAGTTTCATTGGATGTCTTTTTAGAGTGTTAAATCGGTAGTTCAGATCCAAAGTTTAAGGGGAAAAAAATCCCCTTTTACATTTCCTAATGTAAGCTGAGTCATTAAAAGATACAGATAAAAGAGATAAGCCAGATTCAGGGAAGGAAATATTTCATTCTGATTGACTGTCAACTCATCAGAAATTAATAACCAATCAGATGGTATGGATAGGACAGAACTAGGATGAAAGAAAATTCAGTGCAGATTGGGTGGTGTTATTAGGCTAGAAATAGTGTGTTACATCATATGATTCTATTTATTTGTAAATCTTATCCACATGTGTAAACTTATTTTATTTTGTACATGTTTACCAATTTTAAACAAACAGTCTATTCTATTATTCTCTTAGTGCCTCAAACATAGCAACCACTATTTTTAAAGGGCTTACAGCCTTGCATAACAGTCAATTTAACTATAATGGTCATATGGAAAATGGGGAAGAGGGGAGAGGCTCACCACCAGATCCTTGCAACATGCAGTTGACGCATCCTTTCTGGTCAATCCTAGGAACATATCTTCTGTTCCCACCTGCTGTTTGAATACAATTTCATATCTGAAAAAAAAGCCAGTGATATAGAGACTCAAATGAAAGAGCAATTTCCTGTCACAGAGCAGAAAACTGGAAACTTATGAGGAAATGTTATTACAAAAAATAAAAGGACAAAATAAGTAAAGCGCTTTCAATTTTTCAGGCATGTAGCATAACTTAAAGAAAATAGAAGTCAGAAATTTAGTCAAAAATACCTAAAACTGTAAAGCAGGATTTACGTTGTATATACTTAATTGTCTAAAAATAAAACTTAACTGTTTCAGAGCTATACAAACAGTAAAAGTAGAAGAATAAAAGAAGGTTCTTTCCTGGAAAACAATGGCTCAGAAGAATAGTGGACCCATAATCCAGGGTTTCATGGACAGAAAGAAACCTTCTGCCAAATTTAAGCCACAGAGTAGAGTGAGAAAAATCCAGGTTTAGTACTCTTTCTGTCATTAGCTGTGTGATCTTGGTCAAATCCCAAACTCATGTGGTCTCAGCTTCTGGATTTGTACAATTTATGGAAAGGGGTAGGTTTGAACTAAATGATCTCTATTGTCTTTTCCACCTCAAAAATTCTACAGTAGAAATATTGATCATGTAGACAGCACAGCTACAACTATAGTGTTTAGAATCTATAGAATCCTTAGTTCAAGGAATGATTTTCCTGGTATTTTACCTCACACAAGACAATCCACAAATCTTTCCTAGGCCCCAAATTTGGGACCCTAGGGATACAGTGGTTTATAGAAACCCAGCCATAAATGAACCCTATCTTTTTAGATGGAATGAAGTAAGTAAACATTTACAAATAATCTTGTCTGTTTAATTCTACTCTAATGAAGAAATGGCAAATCTCTGGATAGAAAAACTAAAAGACAACACTGAACTTCTGATCACTTGTGAACCAGAATACCCAAGAATGAAAGAGGGATTTCTCTGAGCTGGAACAGGACTAACAGTAAACAGCATTTTGAGATGGAACACTTTTTCTTAATAGACTATAACAGCTCCCAGGTATTTACACAGGTGAAGCCAGGTTAAAACAAAACAGAAAGATATTGATCTACATGCCCTGGACTCCCACATGGATTGCTCCAGCTGTTGCCCTTCCCCTCATCTCCAGATGCAATTTTCCAACTGCCTTCTATATATATTTGCCTGAAGGTCCCATGGCACCTCACAATCCACACACCCAAAATCAAACTCCCACTGCTTCTACTTCACTACATTCCCAATTGCAGTTAATGGCTTCACTCTTCACCCAGTCACCCAAGCGAGTAATCTCAGCACCATCTTTGATGCTTTCCTCTTATTCATCATATCTAATCAAATGCCAAATCTTCCCTCAAGTATCTCTCAGATAAAGACCCTTATATTTCTCTCTAAGGTCAGTGACTTAGCTCAGCTCCTTACTATTTTTATTTGGTAACTTGTGATTCTTCTTTTGTGATCTGCCTGTTCCCATTCTCTATCCATTTTGTTATTTATCAATTAGGACATTTTGAAATGTATTTGCATAAGATAGAAAATAAAGATTAAAAAATCTTGTAAAGCAGTTTTCTTCATATCCTGACTGGAGTTCTTGTTCATTTGAAGTTTTGAGGGATATTCTTTCGACAGAACATCAAACATCAGCATGAAAAGCAAAAATTTACTCAGATTTGGAGCTTGTCACAGATGGCTGTTTGACATTCACTAAACTATATGACTCATCTCACACGCTAGTAAAGTAATGCTCAAAATTCTCCAAGCCAGGCTTCAGCAATACGTGAACCAAGAACTTCAGACGTTCAAGCTGGTTTTAGAAAAGGCAGAGGAACCAGAGATCAAATTGTCAACATCTGCTAGATCATCAAAAAAGCAAGAGAGTTCCAGAAAAACATCTATTTCTGCTTTATTAACTATGGCAAAGCCTTTGACTGTGTGGATCACAATAAACTGTGGAAAATTCTGAAAGAGATGGGAATACCAGACCACCTGACCTGCCTCTTGAGAAACCTATATTCAGGTCAGGAAGCAACAGTTAGAACTGGACATGGAACAACAGACTGGTTCCAAATAGGAAAAGGAGTACGTCAAGGCTGTATATTGTCACTCTGCTTGTTTAACTTCTATGCAGAGTACATCATGAGAAACGCTGGGCTGGAAGAAGAACAAGCTGGAATCAAGATTGCTGGGAGAAATATCAATAACCTCAGATATGCAGATGACACCACCCTTATGGCAGAGAGCGAAGAGGAACTAAAAAGCCTCTTGATGAAAGTGAAAGAGGAGAGTGAAAAAGTTGGCTTAAAGCTCAACATTCAGAAAACTAAGATCATGGCATCCGGTCCCATCACTTCATGGCAAATAGATGGGGAAACAGTGGAAACAGTGTCAGACTTAATTTTTTTGGGCTCCAAAATCACTGCAGATGGTGATTGCAGCCATGAAATTAAAAGATTCTTACTCCTTGGAAGGAAAGTTATGAACAACTTAGATAGCATACTAAAAAGCAGAGACATTACTTTGCCAACAAAGGTCCGTCTAGTCAAGGCTATGGTTTTTCCAGTGGTCATGTATGGATGTGAGAGCTGGACTGTGAAGAAAGCTGAGTGCCAAAAAATTGATGCTTTTGAACTGTGGTGTTGGAGAAGACTTTTGAGAGTCCCTCGGACTGCAAGGACATCCAAGCAGTCCATCCCAAAGGAGATCAGTCCTGGGTGTTCATTGGAAGGACTGATCCTGAAGCGGAAACTCTTAATACTTTGGTCACCTCATGCAAAGAGTTGACTCATTGGAAAAGACCCTGATGCTGGGAGGGACTGGGGGCAGGAGGAGAAGAGGACGACATAGGATGAGATGGCTGGATGGCATCACCAACTCGATGGACATGAGTTTGAGTAAACTCCAGGGATTGGTGATGGACAGGGAGGCCTGGAGATCTGCGGTTCATGGGGTCGCAAAGAGTCAGACAGAACTGAGTGACTGAACTGAACTGAACTGAAACTATATGACAAATGAATGATTTAATTCTTACCTTTCACAGGAATGTGTGGGCACTGTATAAACATAACCTGGGATTCACTCCCTTGATATTTAAGATGCAGACAGAAATGTTTTAAAATCCCCTTTGATTTCTCTATTTATGAGGTTTACTTTTTTTTTTAAACATTGTTTATTTGAAAGTTGACTACTTTTTTCCAGTTAATTATCTGCAGCCTCCCACTGCTTCTATTTTCAGAACTGAGGTAGAAGATAGAAGCATAGTTTTTTTTTTAATATTGGGCACAGTTTTACACTTGGAATTAGAAAATTTCTCAGATCACTTACCATAGAAGCTTTCAATAAATTCTAAAGTACATTATAATTCAATAAGTATTGCCTTTGTTTTTCAAGCTATTCTAAATATTCAACCAAGATTTTATTTTAAAATACATATATTTAAAGCTTAGTGTATTTAATCATTAATTCCAATGTTGTATGTAAACATACTTTAATTCTTAAAAGAATGAGTGATTTCATTTATTAGTATGCAAGGCTTTTTGTGATAATTCTAAAATTCATATTTATGATTCCTATTGAAAAGGCTAGAAAGCAAGCCTTTAATCCTGCCTGCAAAATATACTAAACACCATACTAAAATAAGTAGTAAATAAGTCCAGGTAACAGCAGATAATTGGTGGGAGAACATAGTATTTTACTCAGATTATGGAACACTGAGTAATTAAAAGCAGGTCTTTGACACAAAAACATGGCGTAACAATTTAGTTTGTGTGAATGCTTGTAATTTAACAGGCTGGTTTTACCCACTGGTACTTACACACTGTACAACTAAATGATACTAAATATAAATTTATAATGGAAGTGACTGTATTTTTCATCTTTTGCTAGATAATAACTGAAAGAAAGGTATTAGGTTTTATTATTCATTTCTGCTCTAGAAGGAAAAAAAATAATCAATTACACATGCTTTCTGTGTGTCACCACAGTTTTATCTTTTAAGTGGTAGAAATTACTTTGTGAATCTTATCAAAAATAGAACAGTGTTAGATGACACATCTAACTTAAACTCCCAAACATGTTCCTGACTTCATTTGACTTACTCTGGTGTGTCTCTAACATCCCACGTATCGTGATGCTCTGCTCCTTCTGAAACTTCCTCTGGATTCCAGATTTCCTCACAATTTTCACTACTAGTTTGAGGGATGACTGTGAAGAAAGGGGAGATAAAGCTGAAGCTCTTGCCCCTTTTACCCCTTGAAATTCTTCCTGTCTTTCTTTACATTAAGTTTGGGATCACTGAAGTGAAACATTTTCTATTTGTAATCGCTAGCTTGTTTTTTGGTCAAAGGAAGCTAAATTAGTAACAATTGACTTAAAGTTTTTAATTAACACACAACCAATACATTGAAGAGTTGTAATAATACCTGTATAAAATTTGGAAAAGATATATAAGCAATAAAGAAGAAAATAAAATAATCTACAATCCAACCAGTCATAGATAGTCAATGATAGCATTTTGGTGTATATCTTCCTAGTCTCTCTCTGTACATGTGTGCATATCTATATCTACAAATATATATATACACACATATATGTGTATATACACATATAAAACTATGATATATAAATATTTTGTACATAAAATAACATTGAATATAAAATATATATTATATATAAAATATATATAGAGAGAATATATTGCACAGCATATGTGCAAAGAAATATTACACTGTTTTTCAGAAACAAATAGGATCATACGTAAAATATTTTTACATCAAAGAACGAATCAAACATGCAACCAAGATGATTTGGGTAGAAATATTTTATCTTGTACTAAGCTATATTATTGAAGGCAGGAGAAGGGGACAACAGAGGATGAGATGGTTGGATGGCATCACCAACTCAATGGACATGAGTTTGAGCAAGCTTCGGGAGTTGGTGATGGACAGGGTAGCCTGGCATGCTGCAGTCCATGGAGTCACAAAGAGTCAGACACAACTGAGTGACTGAACTGAAGTTTTATTATATAAAAGCCCTTCAATACCTTCTCCATGCAAGCCTGACATAATTCTTTAAAAATTCTATCAGTGAAAAAAATTGAAAACAGTTGAGACGATGATAATTTTTAATTCAGTATTATCCTCATGTAGACATGAACTCTAAAGAAAATCTCTGTTACTTGTCTTTTATGTCAAACTGAGCATGTGCCTGGGTTTCTACATGTCATATTTGAATGTTTAAAAGTAAATAAGCATGCAAAATCTTAGCTTAAATTTGTTCCAACTATTGGGGCAGCAAATGGCAACCCACATTAGGTGCAGAACAGTATTTTGCGTCTTTCAAGCATTCCCAGAAATGTACCTGATTGTCAGGTTTGCAATTCTGCCAGTTCTTTTGAAATGACCTGTGTCTATCTAACATGGGCTTTGTAAAGCATAATTACAATTTTATATATAAAGTTTTATGTATGACTTATTGTTCTCAGAATTTCGGGATTACTAGACATAACATTATAAGAAATATAGGCAGCACAGAAATACATCCAAATTTGAACTAGTCTTCTATGAAGTGAATATCTCTTGAATAAGGCAAATATACTCTTGAGTATGTAGAATAATAACTACCGAAATTTTAAAATTGTCCACTCAGACATCATTTTAGTCATTATTTTAAACATTTTTCCAGAAAAAAATTTTCACAATTACCTAAGCACTTCATTTCCTTTCCCAGTCCACCCTCTGGTAACTGTGATCACGACCAATAGAATTAGAACTTTCTAGATTTTTAAAGTTGTGTAAAATGTTCAACTCTGTGAAAGTAAACAAGCCAAAACACAAGTAAAACATCCAAAAAATATTTATTCTAGTTTATTGGACCCATGACTTTAAGTCACCCCAAGGGCCTTAATTTATGTTTTTTAACATTAGATGAAATCTTGTAGTTATTTGTTTTATTGTGTTTTCCAGAAGACTATTAGTTTAAAGGGGGGAATGACTCTATTTTGATCTCCACTGTAGTCTCAGAGATGACCATACTACTTGGTACATAATAGGCTCTCAACGAATATTTATTTAATGAATTAATTAATGAATTCTGTTAAACTGCCAGAATACAGCAGCATAGAAGGTGAAGAAGCTAAGCATTTTGGTAAGTAAGAATTAGTTGCTCAGTCATGCCCAACTTTTTGCAATCCCATGGACTGCAGCCCACCAGGCTCCTCTGTTCATGAGATTTTCCAGGCAAGGATACTGGAGTGGGTTGCCATTAACTAGACCCTAAATAATAAAAAAAAATGTTCTCTACACACATGGACTTTCTTGTTTTTCCATGTCAGGAAATATGCCCCAAAATGTGAATAACTCAAGGCAAATTAACTTCAATTACTAGAAAAACAACTTACCTGCAAGATAGAGTAAAAACTGCATCGTTATATGTAAATAGCTGTTCATCATCCCCACAATTATTTGAGTTCATCTTTGGTAAGTGCTAGTGTTAGCATTACTCTCCCTATAATTTTGCTCCCAAAGAAGAGAGTATACTGATTATATTGATCTATATGCTATACTTCTTATAGTATAACTTACCTTTAAGCTCTTCTCTTTTTGGTGGTCCAATATTTCCAGGTCCCATGGCTCCCATTGTTGATGAACTATTTGACTGGAGGAGAAGAAAAAAGTCCAATGTTCTATAATTACTACTTGTATAACTTATATGACCAGTAATACTTTAAATTTGATAAGTTTTCCAGGTACAATTTCATTGAGCTACTCAGTTTAATTATCCATTGTTGTTACACAACTATGAGACAGATGTCAAGTATTATTTTGAATGTGTTTTCCTTGTCCTTTAAAAAAGCATTTGGTTTAACAGACCCTAAGGCAGAATTGATCTTTGATCAGACTAAATCCCCAGTTCCAACCCAGTGAATCATGTATTTCTGGGGATAGGGGAATGAGCCACATTCATCTCTTTGAAGATTATAACCAAGCATTAGTATAAGAACATGGATTTTGGATTTTGGCAGTTGTCTGGTCGTAGTTAGATGGGGAACAGAAGGATGGGTAAGTTTTATAGAAATGAAAACAAACTAAATAGAGTCGAACTATTTAGACATCAAACAACTCATTTAAAAGTCTTAATAGCTTTTACTTCTTTCCACCGTGGGTATGAAATACTCGTCTCACCACCTCATGACACTAAATGAGTGAATTTAAACAGCAACCCCAAAGTAACAGTGTCAAACACATGATGAACCACTTCAGTCTTCATGCAAATTCAGATTTACTTTGCCATCTTCTGCACAGGCATACATACCCCCCAACACACAGCTTACAGGACTGCCTCTGGCTCACCAGCAGAATAGTTTTCTTTTTTCAACTAAGTATAACACACATTCAGTTCAGTTCAGTCACTCAGTCGTGTCTGAATCTTTGCGACCCCATGGACTACAGCACGCCAGGCTTCCCTGTCCGTCACCAACTCCCAGAGCTTATTCAAACTCATGTCCATCCAGTTGGTGATGCCATACAACCATCTCATCTTCTGTCATCCCCTTCTCCTCCCGCTTTCAATCCTTCCCAGCATCAGGGTCTTTTCCAAGAGTCAGTTCTTCACATCAAGTGGCCAAAGTATTGGAGTTTCAGCTTCAGCATCAGTCCTTCCAATGAATATTCAGGACTGATTTCCTTTAGGATGGACTGGTTGGATCTCCTTGCAGTCCAAGGGACTCTCAAAAGTCTTCTCCAACACCACAGTTCAAAAGCATCAATTTTTCGGCGCTCAGCTTTCCTTATAGTCCAGCTCTCACATCCAAACATGACTACTGGAAAAACCATATCTTTGACTAGATGGATCTTTGTTGGCAAAGTAATGTCTCTGCTTTTTAATATGCTGTCTAGGTTGGTCATAGCTTTTCTTCCAAGGTACAATCATCTTTTAATTTTATGGCTTCAGTCACCATCTGCAGTGATTTGGAGCCCCAAAACATAACGTCTCTCACTGTTTCCATTATTTCCCCATTTATTTGCCATAACACACATTACACCTTCAATATACTGGCAACCACTTCATTGGTCCCTCTCAGGAGTTCTTCAGTATTTCAAGGAAATCCCAATTTTTTACTAATCTGATGTCAGATTCTCTAGCTCCAATTCACTCCATTGCTGGCAGTGAAAACGTCTTATCAGTTGGCCCTGGCCAACCAGCACCTCTAACTCTCCCTTTCCAGGATCCTGCCCTTATCTCCCAAGATTTCAGACAAGTACAAAAGTTAAAATGTCCTGTTTGGACAAGAGAAATAGGGTCTGTCCTTGAAAGTTGGTGGAAAATCTCACCTGTCTTTATTATGCTAAATTATTACAACAGCTGTAGGTTATTAGTTATAAATTAATCTATAACATTTCAACAGTTTCTCAGGCAGTAACTATTCTTTTCCAGAAAGTTGCTTCAAAAGTGCTATGTCTGTGGTTAAGGTGTTGTTGTTTAGTTGCTAAATTGTGTCTGATTCTTTTGTGACCCCATGGACTGTAGCCCACCAGGCTCTGTCCATGGGGTTCTCCAGGCAAGAATACTGGAGTAGGTTGCCATTTCCTCCTCCAGGGGATCTTCCTGACCCAGGGATTGAACCCACAGCTCTTGTGTCTCCTGCATTACAGGCAGATTCTTTACTACTAAGCCACCAGGGAAGCCCTTAAGGTGTTACAGGCATTTTAATGTGCAACTCCCAAGGTAATATTCTGTACATTTTTTTCTTTTAAATCACTGAAGTCATATAAAATTGCAGTGCTTTTCTTAAGTTATTAATCAGGCAGAATACTAATAATATTAACAGTCGATCAGGGTAAAGGATTTTTTGGAACATGAGGGTCTCTTTTGTTGAGTGCTTCCTTCCATAGCAAATAAAAGTCCATAGAAATAAACACTTGAACATTCCTGACAAAAACTGGTATGCCCTCTATGAACACTGATGATTGGATCAGTATATCAGAACAGAGGGGGAGTTTCAGTTGATTAACATAATAAAAATAAATAATTAAAAATAAAATTTTCATGTGAAAAGATGGATCAGGATAATAAAAAACAGTAAAACCATCTGGCAATTGTTTCTATAAGATTATCATTTCAGCCTCTACCATGAATCTACATCCAATTATCTGAGCAATTTATCATTGTAATTTATGCCACCCTTCAATATGTAAGAGAGTTAGAACATCAGTGGTGAACCTAATTTCCCAAGGTCTTAAAATCCCTTGTGAGTTTAAAAGATAATAGACATATTCTTTCCCAATCTCCTATATTCTTAACAATTCATGGTGAGGATAGTGTAAATAAACCAATGTGTATACAACAGTTCTAAATGCTGTTTACAGTAAGTGTATTTTCAAAAACACATCACTCTTGTAATCATTCTGCAGTTCCCAAGATTAATGCATGTTAAAAAATGAAGAGCCATTTCTCTCCTGGAAAATTTAATAGTTCATTAGAAACATTAATTATTCTCCCACTGTTCTGATACTCCAATTCTATATCCTCTAATAATATCTGTACTGTGGTGTCTGAATGACCAATTATCTAAAATATTGCTTATAACCCAGATATACAGAATTGTACATTATTATAGCAATTTTCCTCTATAAATTGTATAATTTGGTAAAATGATTCTAGTCTCTTTATTCTCATAGGCACTCATCTTTCCCCTGAAAACGCCTCTAGTTACAAATAAACATCACCATGCATAAATGCCAAAGGAAACAGGCTTTGTAACCAGAATAAATTCTTATCTCTGAATCTGTTCCAGTTAAAAGTTCCATCTCACTTTATTCAAGATCACTATTTCTCAAGCACTGACTATACTTTTTCTATATGGCATAACCTTACCTTTCCCAGGATGTACCACTCTATTTCAGCTAAGGTAGCAGAAATGAGTTTGCCTTCCCAACTTATTGGTATATTGCTCTTAACTTTTTCTTCTGTGTCTTATTTGTTGTATATCTTCAATGCTGTTACTAATGAGATGATTTTTCTTTCTTTGGCCTCTACTAAGAATTTTCCCTGACTAAAACTTCTTGGTTTTTAGTAAGAAGTAAAGCCAGTAAGTAAACTGGCTCCAAGCCAATTTAGTTCCCCTCCTCTACAAATTTTATTTACATCTGCAAGTCTTACTTGCCCTGTTCCACCTAACTTCTTCCTGGAGGGTAGAAGCTCAATCCAGTGTCAACTTGAACCACTGAATTGGCTGCCTATTTAGATTATACTACTTGTTTTTCCACACTATGGGAAAAAAGAATATGGGGAGGAGAAAATTGATATGTTCATGGGAGATGGTTTATTCATGGTAAACTGACCATGATAACAAAGAACATTAAAATAATTTAAAGCAAATTGATATATTCCGCTATACTAGGAGATTTCTGCCTTCAAACAAATTTTGTGTTTGAAATTGATTTCTGCCTTCTTCACATTGGCAGTCTGATAGTCAAAGTTTGCTAATGTCCACGGAGATGGAGAATGGAGAGCAAGGGGTTACATGGAAGTATTTTGAGTATTCTAAGCATACTGGCAGTGAGTGTGAAAAAGTCAAAGGTCAATTCATGCAACTCTCCTACCCAAAATGAAGCCCATCTTGCTACTGCAAGACTCCCCGAGGTTCCCTTTCCTGACCCCAAATGCTATTTGGCTAACTAGATTCCACAGCTCTATCTGAGCATGCAGCTGGAAGCCAATTTTAATAGGCTGAAGCTAGTTTGTCCCATTATTTGGCTCAAAATATTTTCTGTTCTGCTTTCATGTGTAGACAAATAAAAAAAATTAAGGGTTTTGGAGGCTTAATTAATACTGCCTAATTAAACTTATTTGTTTTATAGAAATATTGTCTAGGCTTAAAAATCTTAGCTACCACTCTTTGCATTGGTTGTCAAGCATTCTCTGGCCACAAATATAAATGACAAACATTTTGAAATGTGGCTATTGCTACCATAGTTACAGAACTATTTTCCTATTCAGTGTTCAGGTAGCTTAGAAAAAATATAATTATGTTTGCTAGAAATGTACTAGAGGTTATACTCTCATGCATAATGAGCCCTGCAACCTCCTGTGAATGTATTAGATGACACAGCCCTGCTCCCACAGCAAGGTTGGAACAAGTTGTTCAAAGACAGTTTCACGAGTTAGTGTGATCAGAACTAATTCAGCTGTAAGTATACAACCACCTGTCCGGATTCAAAGTCATCCTCTTCAGGATAAAGTAGCTTAGAGAGAGCCTGTAATGCTGAAACTGAAGAAATTGTTTCAATTTCCATATTTTCAAATTCCATATTTTTTGTTTCCATATTTTCACTTTCTGCATTTTCAGATTCCATATTCTGAGGAAGAAGATAATCAGAAAGAGGTATTTTAGTTTTCTATTTTATTTAAGACATGAAGATTTTTCTAAATTGTCCTATCTCCCTTCTTTCCCTGGGTCGCTCCATGATCTCTTATTCCTCCTTGAAAATCCTTGTAAACTCCTTCAAATATATATATTGTGCTGATTCACAGAGACTCACAGACTCACAGGGCAGCAAGTAGACAGAAGTATTCAGCTTGCTTTATTAAAACTTCATGCTTAATCTAACAAGCATTTCTTGAGCACCTATGTAGTGGCTCTCAGGTTTTAGTGTGCTTAAGAATCACTGGGGAGTTAACTAAAAATGCATGTTCTTAAACTCTACCTCTAGAGAAAGGGTATGTCAGTGTCATGTAGAATGTACATCATTATTTAGAAATGTACTTATATAGACTACCTTTTTACCTCGTCTCTTTTATGCTGTCTAAGCTGTATATCCTATTTAGTGAACTGAAAAGGATGTTTGCTGGGGTGAATGTCTCAAGGAAAGTTATTCATTTCACACTTTTGCCTCAGGCAGCCCCGTACTTTCTGTTATTTAAAATTTTAATCAACCCTTGATGATGTCTCGCATTATACAGCTGTTTGAGGCCTCTAGTGAGTTGGTTCATTAACTTTAGTGAAAGTTCATGGAAACAAATTGTTTTCTCTTGATTATAATAGTGATACTATATATGTCTATTGTGGAAATTTTAGGAAATAATACATTAAAAGTAGAAATAAGAAAATCACAAATACCTGTACTCCTACCAACCAGACATCAGTCTTTAAGATACTCTCTACTATTGTATTTAGAGTAGGAGTTCAGGATTTTTAAAAATCTTGAAAGTGTCAGACTCTAATGAAAAACCTGAATAAAGACTGTAGAATTAGGCTTATTATTAGTGATTTGGGCATAAATATAATAAGAATCTTTTCTACACTTCTGATATTTTTCAAACATTATTCTATAAAATTAATTCATAGAAAAAATTTCTTTAGTGCTTATATTAAATGACCCATTAAAATGTTTCCACTCTGCATAGAAAAGTAATATAAAAGGATTCTCAAAAGGCTGCTGGTACAATCTCCTGTCAAAATCAATCTGCATGTAATGGCAGTTTACAAATCTATTGTTTTACTCTTATGTTTTACCATTATTATGACTTTCTTTTTTAACAGGAAAACTGATCTGAATGTTTATTGGAGATGTCAAGGGTATGAAACAAATGTTAAATAACTCTGTACATCTAGCATAGAGGCAAGTATATCACAGTGGTTAAGAGTAAGGGCTCTGGAGTCATGCTGCCTAGGTATGTATCTATCATTTGCTTCCTATTCTGCGACCCTGGACACATCATTTAATCTCTCTATACCTCATTTTCCTTATCTATAAAATGGGGATGATAATAATGCTACTTCATAGGGTTGTTACAAGCATTACGTAGCTTAATACACATAAAAGAGCTGGGAAAAGTGCCTGGCACATAGCAAGTACTCAACACATGTTAGCTATTATTGGTTCTTAAAAAATTTAATTTTGCTGGGCATGAATATCATTTCTAATAATGATGTCAAATAACTTAATGATAAAACCCATTTCACTGAAAACTCATTAAACTGGAAAAAGTGAAATAAGAGGCAATAAAACAATCTTCTCTCACAGTATGGTCTGGTAGTCTGCTATGGGAATGAATAATTGACACATTAAATTAAATGAAGAGGCTCCTGTTTATATTTTTAAAGTCCTAGCTGATTATGTGTTCATTAAATATTTACTTAACATTAAAAGCAAAAAGTTTACTGAAACATTTTCTACCTTAGACAATGAAAGGGAAAAAATGGGTCCAGATATCAGATGCAATGATATGAGTGGTATTTTGAGTTGAGATTGTACAATGAGACTTTTAAAAAACAAATATAGCAGAAATTGCTTTATTATTCCAACATTATCTACCTCACAGTATTGTTGTGATGGCTATATTATGCAATGTGGGTGAAAGAGTTTGCTAAAATATGAAAAGCTTTCTAAAAATATTATTATTTGGTACATAGTGCCAGCAACACAGGTACACAATGATGAAGACTGTTAGAGATCAACAGTGGGCTGGTGAGAGAGGAAGAAACTGGAACCAGTAGAGCTAACCCAGAAGAAGGGCATTCAGAAGTCCCAAATACAGCATCTGAGATAGCAATCAGAACTGCTATTCATGCATGCTCATCAGCTTGGCAGTGACATGGCAGCGAGAGTTTCAGGACATGAACAGTGTTTCAGCAGAAAGGTTGAATAGCCATGGTTACAGCAAGGTCTATTTAGGTAGAGCAGGACCCTGGTCCACAGGTGGGAGTACAGGAGGCAGAGTGGGGTTCTTGAGGTGGGAGCTGGCAGCCAGAGAAAGGTTCAGAATATGGTAGGGTTCAACATCACAGCTAGAAAAGAGAAGAGGAACCAGACACTCCATCAGAGGCTTTCTAATGTGCCAGGAGAGGTTATGAAGGAAAGCTGCGGTTCATTAGATGCACGGGATACTGTATTTAGGAAAAGCAGATTAATTCTAAATGCACATCAGTGGGGAAGTACCTCTGGCCTTGTTCTCATTTGGTGAGAGACAAAGCAGTGTGGGCAATGGGAAGGTACACCTGGAAGTTGCGTGTCTTCAGTAACTAGAGCCAGCATGTAGTCAGCAGTTGGTGAATACTGAACAAAGCATGATTAAATTCACACAAAAGTCGATTTCCTAGTCATCTTGGAAGGTTATACATTGATGGAAATTATGCTATCAATGCTCAAAATATTTTGGAATTGCCTTCATATGTATCACCAAAAAAACAGGTGTCATTATGGTATCACTCAGTTTGATTACACATCAGATTTGTCTCCAAGTGATTTCTAGCTATATCTAGATATCACATCTACTTTCAAACTATGAAGATCTGGTACTTTGAGGATATTCAAAAGAATGAGCTACAAGCCTTAAGGCGATTCTAAGAGTACTTTCAAAAGTAATTTGAGCAATAACAACAGCATTATAATAAGTGGATAGTCTCCCAAAGTGACTGCTTTGAAGGGAATACCACTCCTTGGGATGTAATACAAATCACAATAATTTATAATAATGCTTTTTATATCTGAAGTATATTAGGAATCAGACTTCTTAAATTCCAAATTATGCTGTCATAGAATGGCATAGATTCATACTTAGATAGATTGAAGTGGAAATATCATAATAAAGTTGGTATGCCAGCAAAAATAATTTTTACCATAGCAACTATAATAATCACCTATAAGCACAAAATAATAAAACATGACAAGCTTCTGGATATTGTATTCCAACAAACAAAAGAATCAGCAATATTAATCAAAGAACTCAAAGTGTCTAAAGAGAAAAACAAGAATTTGAACTGTTAGAAAACTATATTCTAAGTTCAATGAAAATGAAGATTCTACTAGCTTTTTTAGAAGTCTAACAAATCAAGAATAATTCATTAAAACTACTAAAAACCTACTGTAATTCATTTGACACAAATAGATCACATTGGAAAAATTAGAGCAATATGCCTTTTTATGAGTTATGCACTGTTATTTATTTGTAGGACTATCTTTTATTTGTAAATTTGATATAAAGTTCATTTTGAGCCTGGCAATCAAGGACCTTCAGGATATAACCCCAGCCTAATTTTCTGCCCTTCCCTCCTATTATTCTCCTACATGCAATCTGCATTCTGTTAAAAACTGAACTTCTAATTAAACATACCCTAGAATCTCCTGCCTTTGTACTTTGGAATGTATTCTTCCTTTTGCTTACAGTACTGAGAGTACAGTGATTTTTCTGACATTGCCACTTAAACAGGCCAGGAATAAATTTAAGGCCAGTTTAAGTAGGAATTTCATTTAAAATATATATTGCTAAATGTTTTCTTTGAGGTTTGGTTATATAGAAAATAAATTTTCTAGACTCCCCCCCCCCTTTTGTTTTCTCTCACTCTCTTTTGCTGGCCAGTTCCAGTGTCAGAGTTTTCTATACAGTACCTTTCATTTTTCCCACATCAACTTGAAACCTTAGGGCCTTCACAGGTAATGGGGGGGGGGATCTCTCTTGGTACTAAAGGGGCAAATGCTTCAGGATCAGCTCTTTAACCAAAATATTGGAGCCATTTAGGGACTAAACAAGATCAATTAGGATTAGTCCAGAGTGATAGTACTGAAACAATAAAATCAATAACATGAGATTAAGTCAGACTGTAGTTAAGAGGACTGGGATCATGCTTCCTTTTTATTTTTACCTTTTATTTCTTTTTATTTTTACAGTGTCAATAGGAACGGCTCTCTGACTTGAACTAACTGGAGGAAAGTCTAGGTTAAATAGGTGAAAACTCTGAATTATGCACTATTCAAAAAGAAATGATATCTTATTGAATCAAGTTTATATAGCAAATAAAATTAGAGTAATAAAGGCTTACCAAATATTATCATTTGGGAACTTGTTTAATAGGTAAACACATATCCCCATGTAGAGTACTGACTGTTTACAGCTGAATGATTTGAAAGTATTAAAAATTCATTTACTCTCTTAAAATTGGCATATCTTCTGCAACTTTATTTACATAGTGCCTTATTTAACAATTCCTGTATTAAAATTCTTCCAAAAACACAAACGTAAACATCATCGCTGCCTATGTCTGAGTTAAATTATAATGTACTGGTTAACTGAGTTTTTTTTTTCCTTGCATTTTTGACAACTACACACATCAATGCTTCCCTATTTTCATTTTCCTTCTTTTTTGACTGCACCATGCATGTGCATGCTTTAGGAACTTCCCAACCAGTGATGGAACTGGTGACCCCTTCCGTGAGAGCATGGAATTTTAACCACTGAACCACCAGACAAGTCCTTCCCTGACTATTAAAACTAATTCATTTTTACTTTGTTTTTAAAATACCAAGAATAATTTTCCTATTTTAGGTCTCTAACTTTCACTGCCATCAAGTGTACT